CTCGGCCAGGTGGAGGGGGGGGCTACACCACTGCAAGCTCCGGAGGGACAGAACAGGAGCAAGGAGCCTGTGGGAGAGGCGGAAGGGCGAGTGGTCGGTCTGGCTCCAGGAGGGCGGACCCTTGTTATCTGCACCTGTGGGGGAATATTCGTACACAAATACCTCCCCACCCCAATCTCTAGTCATGGTCTTTACCACCCAGTTTCCTCGACTCAAGAGGGAAGAGTCAAAACACATGTCAATACCAAAGAGGATTGTAGAGTAAACAGGCAGAGTTTTCTTGCTCCAGGTGGCCTGTGTGTGTTCTCTCCCATCAAGTTGGAACCAACTTATAGCAACTCTAAGAGGGCTTTTCAAGGTAACAGACATTTAAGGAGTGATTTTACCAGTTCCGCTCTCCCAGGAACGGGGATTCGAACCCTGCTCTCCTAGTCCACCACTATACCCAATACAGCATCCTGTGAATCCAGAAAGAGAGGTGGCGAATTTTAAGGCATTTAGAGAAAGGCCACCCTCCTCTGCCACTTGGTAAATCTTGTGATTCAGCAGAAGGGTTGTAATGTGAGTGCAGAGTTCAGCTTCCTAAGAATCCTAGATGGCTAGTTTATTTAAAAATAAGCAAACTGATGTCTCTCTGGAAGGCGGTGCTTGTCATATGACAAAATGTCAGGTGAAGGTCTCTATGGCAGCACAAAATATGGTGTGCCTCTCCATCACCATACGATGCCCTAGATGCATCTGGACCCATCTGATTTCTGAAGCCAAGATAGGATGGGTCTTGTTAGCATTCGGTTTGGGATTTCCAGGTACAGATTTGCCTGTGGGAAGCTGAGGCCAGACGCAGTGGGCAAGAGTGGTTAGATGCAGCACAACCCACGCACTCGCACACTTCGGACAATTTTTCACAACAGGAAGAGAGAGGAGAACGAGGTCGCACCAGAAAAGGGAGATCGTATGCTTCCCCAGCCACAGCTGGGATTAAGACAAGAATCCCGATGCAGGACCGCTCCGCCGCCCCAACAGAGGATGATTCTACCCAACACTGGCCTGGCACCTGTCCCACTAAGACCGAGTCTACGGGCATTTTCTGAAGAAGCGGCCAAAGTCCCACATCCTCCCCCACCACCCCCTGACACATGCGGGCAAAATTACCATCTATCTCTCGGCGTGGTATCAGTCGGGACGTAATCGAACTTCACCTTCCAGCGGACAGCTTGTTTGCCCACCTCCACCGTTGTGATTCGGCCCGTGTACCACTCCTTGTTCACCCGTACTTCCACGTGTTGCCCTTTATCTGCACGGGACAGAAAAGCAAACTCGGAGTTGGGTTTGTGTTCGGCTGTGGTTTCTAGGAAAGACCAGACTCCAGCACCCTCCCCTAAAGCCTGGTCAGTAAGGAATAACTCAGTCTTTGGGAGATCAATTTTGACTTTAGTGCAGTCCTTTTCCAGGTCAGTGTGGTGGCATGAGAACGAGGAGGCATCCCTTTCTCACTAATTTCGCTCTCTAGGGACAGGCACCCTCTTCCTGCAGCCACAAGGACACCTCCCTGGCACCCCTGGCCTTAGAATACAGGCACTTTTTCTGGACACCACGAGGCCAGGCGCCCGCCCGCACACGTGTTCGCAATGCCTGGGGTGAGCCCTTTACCCGCGTGCCAGCCAGCCAGCGTCTTCCAGCCCCCGTTGAGACTAATCTTATTCGGTTTTCAGGTGAAAAGGGTTCTTCGTGCATGACTTTGTGGCCTTCTTATTCTTATTTTCAGGTACTGTTGCCTAAGTGGATGTGGATGTTACACACTTTGTCTTCTCTGACTGCTTTTTGAAATGTTACTTGTGAACCTACAGAAAGGGCAGTTTCTCCACAAATCAAACAAAGATAGGGAAACGCAGGTATCATGATAGAAACGGAAGGAAGGGTACTTTATCCGGTACGGAAGATCCTTGTGTCTAGTTTCTGCTCCTGTGGATGAATAAAAAAAATTACAGGGATCCAGTTATGGGCTTCTTACCTTTCTGTGCTCTTTTCAGCTCTCTTAATTCTTCTTCCCCTGCACTATCTGTGAGCTGAAAACAAGAGTTCAAAGAGAGTAAGGAGACTCTGCTCATAGCATTTCACTAAATCAAAGCCTGGGAGGGGGAAGGAAAAGGGGCTACATTTATAATTCAACTGAAACCAGTGGCAATTTTCATTTACCCTCAAACTTACTGGCATCGGGAAATTAAACCCAAGGCAAGAGGTAGACTAACCAACTAACTAATATGCCACCTTGGTTCGAAAGGATCCAAGGCAACTTACAGTATTCAAAAGAAACAAAGTTAAAACGTTAATGTAAATAATTACATTAAAAAAGCATTAAACAAGTATCACTTTAAAACTTGTAACAGTAATATAAAAACATACAAATAAAACTCAGAATAAATTGTTGGCTTTTTAAAAAAAGCTTGGTTAAACCAGTCATTAAAGGAAAGCTTGCCTGAAGAGAAAGGTATCTGCCTGCTTGTGGAAGGACAACCAAGAGGGGGCAAGCCTGGTTTCCAGTGGGAGGGAGTTCCAGAGTCTGGGAGCCACAGAGAAGGCCCTCTCCAGTGTCTCCCCACCAGACGCACCTATGAGGGTGGTGGGATCAAGAGAAAGGACTCCCCTAATGATCTTAAGACCCTAGGCAGGCTCATAAGGGGAGATGCAATCTTTTAGATAGCTTATTATTTATACAGTGGTGCCTCGCACAACGATTGCTTCATACAACGATGAATTCACACAGCGATGGGTTTTTTTGAGGAATTTCCCCCATCGTTTAACGATGTTCTCTATGGGGGAATTTCACTTAACGATGTCCCTTTTTGCTCATTTAAAAGTGTCTTAAAATGTTTGAAACCTGTTTTAAATGCTTGGATTCCATAGTGCACCTTGTGAAACATGTGCAAACTTAATTTGGTTTTGTTCTGAGTCTTCATTAATTTTTGATGATTTTTTTATTTTCCCCATTTAAATCAATTGAATGGACAGTTCAATTCATTTAAATAGGGAAAACAAAAAATCACCAAAAATTAAGGACGACTCAGAACAACACCAAATTAAGTTTGC